ATTACAGCCAAATTAGGATGAGGAGGATATATCAACTCAAAAGTTAAAATCATCAGAAAAGCATATAATGCAATGAACATTTTATTCAGAAACATTCCGAGAAAGAATATTAAATGCAGACAAAGAATTTATTGCGCCTTCGTTCTTCCTCATCTTTGTTGGTTGTTCTTGACATAGTTCTATTGCACAGAAAAACAATAAATAATGCTCCTCAAGAACGACTCGCATTACTCTCGGCTGAAAGAAGTAATGATGAAAATATATCTTTTCAAAACGTTTTCTCAAGCATTTATACAAGTTAAAAAACAATAATATTTGCATCCTATATCGAGCAATGTTGAATGCGTACCAAGAGTCAGATTAATTGCTGATCAAAACATAAATATGTGACGTAATTCTCCACTTCACAGACAGTACGCTATGCGAAGGTACTAATCGCGCATTGGCACTCCTCTGAGACGCCACTGACCGCCAGCTGGTCTTACCTCCGCCTATTCGTTCTTAATTTTTGTATCGTTGCTTGAACATTGCAGTTTCTTTTTGATGCAACTTCTTCGATATGTGATGTTTGTTGTCCTTCATTCTGATTCCTATTTCAGCCACACATCATCCTGTCGACTTTCAACAATACCACATAGCTATGCATCGTTTGCATACGACACTACACTATGATATAGCCAAAATGGCATAGAAATGTGATGACTTATTTAAGGTGTTAGAGTAAAAGCATCAACGAATGATGTCGTAAATTCTACTAAAGCTAACATCCATCAAATCTCTCACCTTCTTCAGAAGGTCGAATCCAACGCTACGTACCGACATTCCCTCTACTGAAAGGAGGGTATACGCAGAATTTGAATTAAAGTTCGTTCGTCCGTTCAGGTACTTCACACCGATAAAAAACAATATATACTGCTGACATATAAGGGTTGACCGAAGGGTAATCTAGGTCGAGGATCACGGATCTGGTGTTAGTTTTTTTAAATTCCAATTAGATAATTAGCTAATTAACTAATTAGACAATGAAAAATTCTATTGCTGTTGAGTAAGGGTTGACTGAAGGGTAGTCGTGGTTGAGGGTCACGAATCTGACGTGTCAGCTTTTTCTTAGTTACCAACCTTCGACTTGCTTCGTTGTCTTTCCAGAAGTTGTATATTTCTGTATCTTCCTAAAATGCATTGCAGACGATAGTGGTCTGAATGCTATTTCTAGATGTGATTTGAGTCAAGATAGTAGTTTAAACTCGTACACAAAAAGATGTGATATAGCTTACATCAAGATGTTTCTTGTTCAAGAAATCATAAAAAGTGGTATAAGCTTAATATGATTTTTTTGGATAATACGCTGCGGCACATCAGGTCTTTGGATAGTCTTGGCGAAAATATGTTGTAAAAAGGTATGCACATGAGTGCAATTCCATCTTACTAGCTACAGAGACATCGACTATACAGACAGTATTTTAAATATATCGAGGAGAATGATAGACATTCTTTTCACAGAGAAAAAGCTTGTCAGCGCAGCGCCTTTGGGGCTAAAATATGGAACTCACATACTTGTATTTGGAAAGCGAGATTGTGAATTAGAATAAAATACTTAAGGATTAAGCTCACTTTTAGATCATCACTCTCAGAGTGGTAGCATTTCTAGCAGCCACAAAAGGTATAAGCAGTTGATTCAATTGAAGAATCAAATATACAATTGACTGTCCTTAGTTTAATATAGAAATATTCGGTCAGAATCATTTAGAATTCCGGACAAGGCGAGATTTTTCTGAGTAAAGTGCACGTTGGGCCATTTTCGCATAATTGAAATAATACAGAGTAAGGTCCAAACAGCACAGCAAAAAATAATGAATCTGCATTTGAGATGCAATTATGTTTACTTGAATAGTAAATCATAACGGGTGCGCCATAAATAACTGCCCTCGTCATATTTTTCATATTTCTTCTCGGTATGTATGCTAAATGTCAAAATGAAAAATATCGAAAATGAAAAATACCGAAGGGAAAAATGTCGAATGAATAGGAAAGTCATGTCTAGTGTTGATTATCAAATATTTATTCGATTGCAATGAGAAAAAAAGAAAAGTACACTTTTTCAAATGATAAACAACTAGAAAGAAAATTTTCGAAGAGAGTTAATGTCCATCGCCGCGATAAAAATTATTTTTTCGTCCCAATGAGTAACGATAAATTGTCCAACAATTGTTCCACATTGATGTTTTTGTCGTTATATCGAGCTATAAACGTATCAATACGCCCTCGAATACTATTTGTAGAACGTGGAACTGGTAGACGTCGTGCACCTGTGATGGTTTGAACATACAAGTGTTGAAACCGAGCTTCTTCGCTAATGATGCATCGGACGAATGACCACATATTTCCATGTGCGCTTTCGATTCTTCGATTCAGTCGACTGTGAAATCCTAAATGTAAATATTTCANATATTCTAGAATATTTGATAACAGAAGCCTAATCGGACGAAAAGTGTTAGCTAGTCTACGAAACGATTTAGCAAGAATACGAAAGAAAATACGAGAAAAAAATATCAGCAAATTTCGATAGTAGTCAATAACGTCATTTAAGAATTTTCGACGTTTCTACCTTTCGACGTATTTCATTTTCGATATTTTTCCTTTCGATATTTATCATTTCGACTTTTTTCTTTCGATATTTGCTCTTTCGACGTTTTTCCTTTCGACATTTTTCCTTTCGGCGTTTTCGTAGTAGATCAAGTAGTTACAGTACTAGCAATCAGTCCTTGTGTTACTGGAGAATACGTGCTGAATTTGTAAACCATTAGGCCAAACAAAATACCAATACCAAGCGATGCGAAACTTTTCAGAACAGCATGGCCTATAACAAATTTATGTAGTTCACAGAAATTCGTAGATCACAGAAGCTACTCAAGCATTTCAATGCATACACACAAGTAATTTCCAACGCTCTAGTCATTTTTTGTTTTATTTTCTATTGTAAACCCAATCCATGAGGACAATTTCGTCCAGATAGTCGAAGTTGTAGGATCTTATGGAAAATATTGCAAGACTCTTGGATAGTTTAATTTACAGACAGGAATGCGAAATCACTAATGTGATTTGTTTCTTCTATGTGACTATCTGTGTATCACATGTATCAGTTTTCAAACGACTTTGACAATGTAGCTACACCAGAGTTGGAACCAGGCAAGTTTTTTTCATTCGCTCCAGTCCGGTCGAAATCCGACTAACTCATACACAGATTCCATGTTTTATCTACTGAAATAGTAAGGAGAATTGATTTTGTATGTGCTATATGCTTAAGTACAAGAGTCCAAACTGCCAAGACGTGCAATGTACGAAAAATCTTTGTATCATGGAAAAATCTATTTCAAGCTTTAACTTTCAAGAAAATTTGATAAGATTGGTATCGTCAAAATTGTAAATAGGAGAAGAAATTTCAATATAATGAGTTGATAAAAATCCGGCTTCGCCCTCGCAGGTATGCGTTTTCATCCGGTCTTGTCTTGCCTAGACCGGTTCCAACTCTGAGCTACACGAATTTCTAACTGATATATTGATGATATAAAATACCAGTATCACCTTTTCGGCGAAAAGCCAATCAAACACATTAAAAAATTTTTAAACCTAAAAGGTTTTCCTTCATATCAACGTTCACTTCTATAGTATCGCAAACCTTTATTCCATCGGAGTACTTTTATTTCAGGCATTTCACTTATTATATTCATCGTCTATCTGGATCGATACGAAAAGTCATTTTTCTAAGCGCATTATTTTCGTAGGCTCAAAGTCTACTAATGATAAAAAGTTCTTCTTCTATAAACGCACTAAGAGTGGCAGAAACGAAACCTCTGGTACATCTAGACCCAGTTAGAAACTGTTTCTTACATAGAATGCGCTGATGCCCATCTAAAATGGTATTTGCTTATGCGTTTCCTCTCATAATGAAACGTTAGACGGCAAAAACGTGTTTATTCTGCGTTTGAGAGCTACATGGTTCATCTCGCTGATATCTTAGTGATGTCTTCACGCATATTCTATTCCATTTCGTTCTTTGAAATTAATCAGACTCGCTGTCAAAAATTCATCTCGTGTATCGAAATTCACGATTTTCTACTCTCTGCTCTCCTTTCTTTATCATTTTCTGGGTATCATCGTCTTTGATGAACATATTAAGAATTTAATCATGGATAAAATCTCTCTGTTTTTCTTTCTTAATGGAGCTATTCGTCTATGGACAGTTCGAAAGCAATGGTGATCTATTAAATCAAAACCAATAGCACTATGAATCAAGGAACACTTTAAAATTTCACAAAGATTGCCATAAAAGAAAATTAAGCATACTATCCCATACGGTTCTAAGCGTACTACTTATTCCATTGTAAATCTATTGTTGTCAAAAGTAGATTCCCTAAACCAATGAAGGTCAATAATGCTATCGTCATGATACGATAACAAACCATAGTATCCTCTGTTCTACAAAGGTAACCACTAAACAAAATCTAACGGATCCGATCTCGCATTCTACTGATCAATCATGAAATCCTTCAGAGAATAGATTTATACCTGCTGTAAATCACGCGTTTACCATGTCACATTGGAAATCTACCAATTCTGGATGTTCAGCTAAAAGAACACCCTGTGTAGGTCAATTCATCAATCATTACATCTTACGAAATAAAGTTCGAGCTCTCTTTATGACTATATCAGCTTCATATGTTCTCTTCATTTGTATCAAAGCTTTCCTGAAAAAGAACGGAAGTTGGACGGTGAAAACATGAATCAATCACTCACGTTTTTTGTATATATGCCTGAACATTCAGTTGATTTAAACGCAATGCATTATCGCAGTCATTCACTGTGGCTAGAGAAAAAAATGCTATCCATAATACACGCCATTCATCACGTAATGGAAGTTAGCAGCGGATTCGAGTATATCCTGCTGACATTCGCTCCAGTACTTGGGATGAGTGTGAAACTCCTGGGGTGGATAGATCTCGTCATTCTGCATCGAATGGTGTAACATAAGTGGGGTATCGTCGACTGAAAGTAACGCGTCCACCAATAAATAGTAGTAAAATAGTGAGTTTTACTAGTATATCCTGCTGACATTCGCCCCAGTACTTGGGATATCTCTGAAACTTCTGGGATGGATAGATCTCGTCATTCTGCATGGAATGGTGTGGGGCACGGTAGGATAGCCTATAAAATCGCAGTTGGGCCATTGAGGTAGTGACTGTATGCCGAGATACCTGAATGCATATGTATTACTTAGGTGTTAAATGAATCTGGACTGAGATTTTGTGTAGACTTTGTTGTTGTTTGATGCACAGTGG